CGAGAGGTGCTCTCAGGCTAAATTGCTGTGGTGGTTCACACTATGGCGGCGTGTGTCCATGCTTTCGGTGAGTCACCCGGAGAAGCTGTGCGTGCTCGCCTTTGGCTTTGTGTCTGCTTTGACAAACCGAGGTTGGTGTCACAGTGTCTGCAGGGGCTGTTGTCCTAGGCTCCAGATTAATCCTAATCCCTTTCCAAACTTTGACTAGGGCTGTACTTAATCCTAGACTAAACTGAGACTCGTTCCCAACGGAGCTGGAGACGCTCCTCTGGCTTGATGGTTTAGTCCGAGTCGTGGTGTAATCCATGTTTGGGAAACCGCCTCTACGTGTCGATTATATGTTTGGGGTTTAGAGTGGTTGTGTTTGTATGCGTGTTGAGAGGAAATGGTTAGCCCATGTGGTGAAGGTTAGGTCATCTGCGCAGTCTGTTTTTGTTTGTGTGCATGTGTTCATGTACATGTGGTCATGGTCACAGCTCTTTGTGACCGTGGTCTTTGTGTGGACAGGGTGCTCGGAGTCTCCCGGTGGTATCTTGGGGATCAGTGACTCAAGGAAATCAGGACACACTCTAAATTTGTCACTGCAGCATAACCCACATAATGAAAGAATACAAGCTCCCATGCATACACTCTCCTGTCTTGCCTTTCCTCTGACTGCTCTGTGTGTGTCGATTTCCTTCTTAAAACACGCACACACAGACACACAAGCGCATACACTCATGTTGACAAGTGTTAACTGGGTAATATGGAAATCAGAAGGCGATGAGCACATGTTTAAATGAGTCAGTGTTTTCAGTCCTCAGCCTTTGCATGGGTGTTTGCTCTGCAGCCTCCACTCAGGAGTGTTCCGTTTGGATTATGTTTGTGGTTTACTGAGGCAGTTGAGGGAATACCTCCAGCTAGCATATTGGAGGTGTTGGAGGAAAGGATTTGCTTGCCCTGAGGCTGCTGTCAAGGTTGCGGGGTACTTTAAACCCAGCTAAACTCTCTTTACACCCATGTTTATCTAAGAAAAGGCTTTTCATGCTCTTTAAGATGGCATAAATCCACACTGTATGTTCCAGTAATTAACACTGGACGGATGCAAACTTCATCAAATACACGAAATTAAAGCAAAATTCTGTACTGTCTAGAATTGTATTTTGTTTTTTGTTTGTAATGTCAGTTTTTCCAAAATATCTTGCTGATTATACGTTCAGAACACGTCTACATACCGTTCCTTCAGTCTGGAAAAAGTGGAGCATTATACACATCTAAAAGATATAGCTATAATCAATATTTTTTTTTTTACAATGGATGACATGACTACTTTTACGTGAGAGGGGTCGCACATAATAATTAGTTAATTATTTAGTTGCCTGCGACTCTAATGTTTCCGTTCACTCCACTGCTTTCATCCGCGTTGATTTTCAGTGGCAGCAGATGGCTGTTTTTGGTTATAAAGCTAAGATAAACCCACTGTACACTACTTGCCCAACACTAAATGGCAGAAAGGCAACTAGCTGGTGAGCCTAGTAAATTATTTTACAGCTAAACAGGCAGATATTTATCTCAGGAGTTAGTGACCAAAAACAGAGCTACGGTAAAAGGAGAGTAAGTATTAGTTACAGGGTAGGTGGCCGGAAAAAAAACTTCAAATTAATGGTAATATCAGTCCGTATTTGCTGAATGTGTAAATATGCAGCTGTTTGCTGATGGGTTCCCCATTTCAAGTGGCCAAAAAAAGGCTTAAGTCTTAAAAGAATACAAATTATGAAATGATTAGTTGTTTAGATTGTTTAGTTGACATAAAAGTAATTGCCAACTATTTTGATTAAGTTAAATTAAATATATCGGGGTTTTTGGATTGTTGGTTATAAAAAATAAGACAATATAAGAGATCACCTTGGGCTCTGTCTGCTGACTTTGCCTGAACCCAGAAAATATAAGTTTGGACCCACTGAACAGGGGCAAGCGAGCAGCATCAAGAATAGCTGAGCCCTGACAGAATTCGACACAGCCCTCTTGAGAGCCCCTGAACGCTTGGTTTGAAAAGTGTTTCTCAATAACGTTATTCATGACTAAAATGAGCAACAATGAAATTTCAAGTTCAGAAAAAATCTTCCTGAAAGATCCCTTCCAGTCATCTATTAAGATATAATACAAATGGTCTGCTTGGAAAAATAATGTGTCTGATATGTTTTTTCCACAAAAACAGTGTAATTTCCACATTAAAATCCTCAAAAATGCATCTACTCCTTCTACCTCATTAAACATTCCAGAACCTATGAATATGCAAATGTTGTTTATTTCTAAATCTGGACACAAGATGTCTCCTACTTCACTGTAAAGTCCATTCTCAGTGTATGGGTACTGGTGGCTTCAAAGTTTCTATATCACAATTGTAGAAGTTGACTTCCAAACTATTTGTGATGTCATAAATCATGCTCGTATGCCCTGCTCCTTAAAATCTGATTTTCAATGAGCACAGAGAAACTTTCCACAGCAGATGAATTTGAAAACATCCTTCTTGTGTCAAACAAGAAGAAAACCCATTTTGACTGTATTATATAAATTCTATTATTATATAATATATTATTAAGTATTATTTATCAAAAAGTGAACAAAAAAAACTTAATCTGGTTCATCTGATATTGCCAAATCCTGATTGGCACGCTGAAGTATGTGACATCAGCTTTTCCCAACTGCACATGGCCCACTTAGAAGAGCACAGAGAAAAAATAACCAAAAATTGTTCTAACTTTGGCAGCGCATTGTGTGTTCATGTAGGACCCCATCACTCAAAGTGAGAGGATGATTGAAAAAATACGTTTTCAGGGCCTTTAAGCCTTAACGTCTTCCTTATGTAAGAAATATACTCACAGTCATAGTGTTCTTAAAGCCAGCATGTAGTAGCCGTTCAAAGAAAGTAACTATGGTACTTCTGCACTGACTTTGACGTTGCCCTACAGTGGTTGCTGGCTGGTAAAAACTCACAACTTCTCGTGGTGCCTTTTCATAATGTTAAAGGCTTTGTGACGTATATGACATGATTTTACTTTCCAGCTTCTCATAGCCAGTCATCGTGGCTACGTTGTTTTCTTTGTTTATCTTAATTCATCAATCTAGTTAATTTGGGTGTTCCTCAGGGAGCAAATTAGGGACTGCTATTATTTTTTCAGTTCAGTGCTAAATTATTCTAGGTATGCATTCTGCAAAGCTCCATCTGCATCTGATTCCTGTGTATCATGTATCCTTGCATATCTCCTTTATCTTCAGAATATTAATGTGCTACACTGTCAGAAACCATTGTTGTGATTGGTAAGGAAATCTTTTTGCATGACTGGGTTCTTTTGTATTATCGGGCATATTGTACCTCTGCAAATCACACCAAATCTGACATGATCGGGGGAGAGTGCATGTCTGTGTATGAAAGGGAGGGGAAACGTGAGAGATAGGGACCGAGGGTCATGATAGGGAGGCGGGAGGTGGGGTGCAGAGGCATATGGCAGTTGTTCAAAAAAGTGAGAGATGGGAACCTTCAGAAAAGCGCTGGAGGGCTCAGAGGGAGAAGTGTGAGGGAATGAGAGAAGGGGGGGAAGTGATAAAAAAGTGGAGAGGACAAGTGAGAAGGAGAGATGTAAATGGTAGGAGGTGAAGAAAAGGGAGTGAGGGAAAAAAGTGAGAGAAGAGAGAGATGGGTGAACGGGGGAATGAGAAAGAGAGGGAGAAAGTGCTGGAGGGCTGATATTTAATGTGATAAATGAGTTGTGACAGTCCGCCTCTAACCCCCTTCCAACCAGCGAGGAGGAGGAACACAAAAATAGAAAGCATTATGGGTAAAAGGACATATACAGCATTATATATGTATATAGAAAGAAGGATTCGCATACATACTGTAGAGGAGGAGAGGTAGAGGAAAATCAGTGCAAGCAAAAGGACATTCATACACAGCATTATAGATGTACAAAGCGAAGGAGGCGAGTGGGTATGCATAAATATAGAGGGAAAAGCAGAGAGTGGGGCAAAGCAATTTGGGTAAAGGACATACAACATTATAGAGAGAGAATAGAAGGAGAGAGGTAATGGCAGAGGTGGAGGGGGAGGGGGAGGAGGGTGAAGGGGGTGTACAATGCAGCATTGGGTTAATGATCTACTGTACGAGATTCTTCAAAATAAGTGGGAGTGGGGAGAAAAATGAAAGCGAGAGATAGAACGGGAGGAATGAATATTTCAAGCGAGATGCAAATCCTCCACGGTGATTGCCTCTCCTCTATTGTGCGGGTGTCATGTCTTCAAGGGACAGCTAATTACAACTTGTCATCATACAGCGTGGAACAATAGCAGAGGCCTTTTTCTAGTTTTCCCCTCATATTAGACAGTTGGTTGGTGGGCCAGCGCGGCGCTGGTCTATCTACTGTGATAGTGGACTGAAGACTGTAGAGAGAGAGTCTAGAAGACAATGACAGCCACTGTAGTTTTGGTTGGGGAGTGGAAGCCTGGGAGATGACTCATAGGGAGGAATGAAGAAAGGGGAAACAGAGAGTGAGACGAGAGGGAGGGCCGCAGAGTTGTGGAGAAATGAAAGTCAGGAGCGAGAAGAAACGCGGTGTGAGAGACCCTATGGCTGAAGTTGCCTGTTTGATCTCCTAGTTCTTCTCTCCTGAGTCAGCGTTAACCACCGCTTTGTCTTCTTTCTCTCTCTTTCTTCTTCTCTAACTCTGTTCTGATTTCCTCTTCATTGACACCTCCGTCTTTCCATGCAGCTCTTTACTCCGCGCCGGCGCTCACTCAATGGCCGCAAGCCAGTGAGTGATCAAATATGGCAATCGTGGTATTCCATTTCTGCTGGAGGAATGCAGTTTTCAATCAATTAACCATAAAACCACAGATACAATAATATGTCATATCTGTGATCGGGGTGATTTTACAGTAGCTTGCCTGTAGTATGTACACAGTGAGAAAGTCCCTAACTTATCCCTCTTTTTCTCCCAATTCCCATTCTCTATCTGTCTCTCCAGCGTGGACAGCGAGGTTCTCTCAGGAGCCGGCAGACCAGTCGGTGGTGCGGGGCCAGAGGGTGATCCTGTCCTGCGTTGTCTTCAACTACTCAGGCATTGTTCAGTGGACCAAAGATGGCCTGGCTCTGGGCATCGGAGAGGACCTCCGGGGTGAGACATCATACAGCCTCCTCAGGCCTCCTTCACTTTGTTCAGCATGTGACTAAGATCGGTTTCTCAAAGCTGATTGGAGCTGCTGATAGGCAAAATGTCATGCTGCATGTTTAACGCTATAGAGTTAGAGGATTTTGTGAATGCCTTGAGTTCTTTCTGGTACTCTTTATACCACAATTGCAAAGACGGCTCACCATTTACTCGTTTTACTTCTTGTACCGCTTCTCAGAGTGCAGAGTGGAGACATGTTAAATGTTTAAAGCCTATTTTATGCTTACAGTGGCATCTGCAACATTTGCGGTGCAGAGGGTCAGCGCTGTGCTTTGCTCTGTAGCTCAAACTGAAACTCTGTGGAGGCCACCAAGGTGCCACACATAACACTTACCAACTTTGCATGAACTTTGATATTTTGACTTTGAAGGAGATCTTGGAAATGATGTGAAGTTTACTCTAACCCCCGACAAAAATCTACAAATGCACAAGCATGCAAGTTGTAGCATGTATGCCAACAATACTGCAGATAGCTTAGACCAGTGAATTCCAACCAGGGGCACTTGTATCCCATCTATCTGCAGATACCAGTAGGGATGCAACTAACAATTATTTTCATTATCCATTAATCTGCCCAGTATTTGGTCTATAAAATCCAAGAAAATCCTTGTTTCTTAGTCCAAGGTGATGTCTTTAAATGTCTTGTTTTGTCAGTTATTCTATTTCATATCATATAAAACAGAGAATAGCAGAACATCTCCATATTTTTGAGCCTGTAAATAGCATTTTCTGCCATTTTTGCATGAAAACGATGAATCAATTATCAAAATAGTTGCAGATTGTCATTTGACTTGTCAACTAATCGTTGCATCGTTGTTACCAGGGTGTATGACTATATATTATGGACTAGCTCAGATAATATGAAAGCATAAGAGTCATTGCTGTACTTGGGCAGCAGCAGCTGTGTAATTAATGTCACAATAACTGTTAAACTTCCAGCTGTGATAAGCTGACGGCTTAGAAAACCCTGACACTAGCCTATGTGCTGTAGAGTACGTGAAAGCTAGTTAGCAAGAGAGCGAAGAATTTGAATTAGCCAAATGGTGAATGGATAAATGAGCACAAACCTACTGAAAAATTGTGTTAAATAAATAACACCCAGTTTAAAATAGACAGGGAGGTGAAATTGTCAAAATGGAAGCTGGAACTGGAACCAATCCATCTATATAAGGCAATCAGTTACATTTTCAATGACCATTTCCCTCTTGCCTCAGCATTGTGATCATGCTAGGTTTTACAGTTGCACTGGCCAATATTTGACCTGTGACAAAAATATCTTTCGTAAAATATATTTAGACTGGACTAACTGTGCTGTTTCATGTGTTACAGTTGTGGAATTTTCCCCAAATGCTAACAAAGCACAGCTCTTTCCCAGCACTTTGAATGACACACGCTCTCCCTGTATGACATTGCGTGTATGTCGATGTGATGGCTAATGTATGCTGACGAAATGTTTTTGCTGCTGAATGTTTGAGTTACAGCTGGACTGAGCCAGCAGAGCAGTTTTGGACAGGAGATGTTAGGAGGCTACTGTCATGCTAAACACAGCCAGACTACCACAGCAGCTATCACCATCACACCACGTTGTGACAAACTGTGCACTTACGTACCTTCTTTACATATCATCGGCTGTTTGATGGGAAATTCTAAGCTCCCTCAGGCACATTTTACTCACACCCTTCAACTTGGTTGAGGAGCATCACATCATCACCTCTGTCACATGAGCAGTGGGTGACACTGACTGGCTAATATCTGATTTTCATTGATTCAGGCCTATTCATCAACAAATATATAGCCCTTACTGTTGGCTCCAGTCTTTCTCGTAGAATCTTTTGTCGCGGATGATTTCCAGTTTGATTTATTAGGTCTCCTGCTTGTCCGCCTGTCAACAACAACAATTTAAGACTCAGCTTGTTCAACTTTGACAAAACGTGGGGGAATGATGCATGTCGTTGCTGTGTTGCAGCATTTTCGAATTGCACTGATTAGCCCAAAGGGGGCTGTGCAATTACTGGTCAAAACAAGTGGGGAATATTTTTAACTGATTGGTCCAGAGGGAGACTGCATCATTTGTGACATGTTGTTGCCTTGTTTTTGTTGATGTTGCTGTTGTTTCCCCCAGACTTTGTGCTTTACTATTCTGTTTAAACCTTTCTTTTTCTTCTGTTCTCCCTTCACATGTACTGTATGCTATGATTTTGGATTCATTTTTCAGTTATTTGGCCTTTGTAATTGCCCTCCCCTCTCCTTTCCTCTCCTCACCTCTCCTCTCCTCTCCTCCCCTCTCCTTACCTCTCCTCACCTATCCTCTCTTCTCCTCTCCTCTTCTCTCCTGTCATCTGTCTGTCATGCTATTCCTTCGCGACCTCCTCATCTAAGCTCGCTTGTTCCTTTCTCTCTCTCTTGTTCTCCTTCTTTCAGCTGCTTCTGCCTGCTGTGCTGAGCCCTCTCTCCTATTCTTCCTTTAACTCATCTACCTTGTCGCTCTTTCTCTCTCCTTACCTTCACCTTGCTTCGACACACTCTCAGTTCATCCTCTTTTCTCGAAACCCTTTCTTTCTCTGCTCCTCTCCGTCCTCGTCTGTCCGTTCTCCATTCTTTGTGTCTCCCCCTCCGCTTTCTCCCTCCCTATTTTAATCATATTGTTACTGTAATGGTCCAGTGCTTCAAGCCAAAGCTTTTAAACAAAAACATGTGAATAAACACTGGCCGCTTCATGCACACATACACTCAGTGGGTGTGTGTGTGTGTGCTGGTGTGCTGCGTGTGTGTGTGTGTGTCGTGTGTGTGTGCGTTTGTGTATGAGGCTCTGTCCCTCTTCTCCCCCCGCCTCGTTCTCTGGGCTTTTCATGCGCTTTCACGCTCTCGACATTTCACATGCAAATGCACGTATATACAAGGCACACTCACACACGTGCATGCAGAAACAAGGACACACAAGGTTAGGCGAGCAGCAAAGCTGAGTTTAGTGGCTGCGCATGGAAACGGCACAGAGAATTTCACATGCAATCTACGTCTGGGCAGCAAACATGAATTCTGCACCATGGACTGGAGTCGATTTGAGTCCTCTAAAACGTTGCTGTCATAATGCATTCATCTTTTCCCCCCTGCCGGTGAGAGAGAGCATGGGTGCCACCTAATGGTGAGAATGTACAGCAGTGACACAGCTGGGCTGTGTGGCGGATGGGGGAAGGGGAAGAGGCTGTGTTGCGTGTGTGTAATTGTGAGTGCATCAGGCAGAAGTGTGTGAATGTGTATGTTTGGTCATGCGTTGGTGTTTGTGCACATATATCGCATCATGTGGCCTTGCATCTCTCTGGTGTCATTAAGCTTGATGAAGAAAAAGTCTTTTTTTTTTATTTATGTACAGAGTGGCCCGGATCTGATGTTTTCTTATCAGCATGAATGAACTGGAACAAGCTGTGTAGTGTTGCATTTTTCCAAATTCTGATACAGACCACATGGGTATGTGGGGATCCTGAGACGTGACAAATTAGCAGTTTGTATTTGAATAGTCAAATATTAAAGATATAGTGACAATCAGTCAGATTTAGCCCAGAGGACAACAAGAACAAAAGGAAAAAGCAAAATATCGTGATCAGCATTTTAGATGTTTTAATTTAGCTAAAATGTGAAGAAATGTGAAGCTAGAAGCAATATATGTTCAACATGAACAGAAGAAAGCAGAAGGTTAAAAAAGTGAAATGTATCTCATTTTTGTCCCTCTTTTTGACATTCATGCCAGCTTATATTGCTTTCAGATAGTGTATGTCTTTAAACTAAAAGCCACCCAACATCAGACCTTTAAAAATTCATCCATGAGGTAGAAATCTAGCTTATTTTGTCCCTGAAAAGTATCATGATTATCTTAAGAGTCTCCCTCGCTCAACACAATGTTTTTCTTTCTTTGTTCCTACAGTTGAAGTTTGACACTAGAAGTATGTTCTCACATTCATCTGCTGAAAGTGGAAAGTGTTCATTCAAAGTCAGATTTTAAAGGGGCGTGGCCTACAAGCATGATTTGTGACATTACAGATAGTTTGGTAATTAGTTTGTGATGTTTAAACTGAAGCCACCACTGAACATACACTGAGTGTGTAAATTATACTTTTGTTTACAGAAAAGACATATCAGACCGAGAAGAGTATTTGTATATATGGTTTAATATGACTGGACCCCTCCAGTCCAACTTTGACTCCTACTTTACTATGTCTGTCTGTGTGTCCCAGCCTGGCCCAGGTACCGCGTGCTGCGCGTGCAGGAGTTGGGTCAGTACAACCTTGAGATCCAGTCAGCGGATCTATCTGACGACTCCCTGTACGAGTGCCAGGCCCCTGATGCCGCTCTGAGGTCCAGGAGGGCCAAACTCACCGTCCTCAGTACGTTAGTGTGTTGGTGCATATTTTATAGAATGTATGTGAGATGTTGTGTGTTTCTAACACTCTCCTCTCCCGCTCCAGTCCCCCCAGATGACCCGGTGATCGATGGGGGTCCGGAGGTGTTGCTGAATGCGGGGGAGTCCTACAACCTGAGCTGCGTGTCTCGAGGGGCTAAGCCGCCTTCTATGATCGAGTGGCTTAAAGATGGTCTGCCTGTGGAAGGTGCTGCCAGTAACACTGTGAGTCTAAGAGACCGCATTCACCAAAACACACACATCCATGAAGTGTTTTTACAATTGTTGTTTTTTTTATCTGTGTTGTTTCATCAACGTCCCTCTGCTGTCCATCATCAGGAGGTCCTTCCAGACAGGAAGAGGGTGACCACACGTAGCTACCTGCCAATCCAGCCTGTCGACAGCGACACTGGGAGGAACTACAGCTGTGTGGCCACCAACCTGGCTGTTCCCACCGGCAAAAGCACAACTGTCACCCTCAACGTACACCGTAAGCAATTCACTAATATTGAGAGAGAAGCTGATTTTAACTTAAGAAGTACCATTGTTTTCTCATGTGATATATTACATTACCATTGAAAGCATGTCATTTTTATCACAATCTATAATTAGACTTTTTATACAATATATAAAAAGCAACATGGTGTCATGTTTTGAAACATTAAACACCTGCCAGCAGCTAAATGTTTTATATATCATTAAGTCATGCATGGAAGCCATTTTGCATACAACCGTCCTCCAGATTGCTGCATATATTAGAGGGTGTTGTTACATGAGTCTCTTTGCCTCTCTCTCTCTTCTCCAGATCCACCGACAGTGACCTTGTCCATTGAGCCTCGCTCTGTCCTGGAGGGGGACCGAGTCACCTTCACCTGCCAGGCTCACGCCAACCCTCCTATTATGGGCTACAGGTCTGAATGCATATACAAGCGCATTCTCACTTTCACCTCCTAAAGTAGCAGTTAGATTGTATGACAGAAATGTAGTACTTCTTTTTGTCTTGTATGATTTTTGTTGAATATTTCAAAGTTGACATAAAAAATAGAATGCATATAAATCTATTTAGAGCATATCGGAAAAACAAGACAGTTTCATATTTATGGTTCCCATTTGTGTCACATAGTTCCAGGGTGTGTGCATGTATTCTTTCACCGTATATGACACTGCGTTTTAACCCCAGGTGGGCTAAGGGGGGCGTGGTGCTGCAGGGAGCCAGGGAGAGTGTGTTCACCACCAAGGCTGACCACTCCTTCTTCACTGAGCCTGTCTCCTGTCTGGTTTTCAATGCTGTGGGAAAGACCAACGTCAGCATCTTGGTGGACGTTCACTGTGAGTCACACAACACTCATCACACTCACATCACCTTGTTCAATTGCTTGTGGCCCACTTCACTCACTACAGCCTCGAGTCAGAGGGATAAAACACACCATTGTTGTGTTTCTTTTTCCCCTGAGCAGCTTCTCGCCTTTAGTCCTACTGTATTATTACTCAAGCACAACAAAGAACGTCTCTCTCTGTTTCTATGTCTCCAGTTGGTCCAATTCTGTTGGTGGAGCCGCAGCCAAAAACAGTAGATGTTGACTCTGATGTCACCCTCAACTGCAAATGGGCTGGAAACCCTCCGCTCACACTCACCTGGTTCAAAAAGGGTTCGAACATGGTAAGAAGCTGAGAGCCCACACTTGCTCATTTCTTCTCTGTTCTTGTGTTCACACTACTTTTATAGTTCACGCTTTCTCCTCCAGTGTTTACAAAAGCAGCCTTCATTCAAGGGCATTATCCTGTCTGTACACCTGGATGTATTTTTCTTTTCCCTGGTTTTCTTTATGTTGGATTACATTCAATAAAATCAATGACTGTGCTGTAGTCATATAGTCCTCCTAAATAGAAACAGAGGACAATACGATGTCCAGCAGCCATATTTCAGGTCTTGAACAACTGTGGCTTTGAAAAGCCAATTGCATTTAGTATTTATAATAAAAATAAAATTCAGATGAGAAGATTGATACCACTCTCACTATTTAACTTAGCACAAAGTCTGAAAACAAGGGAAGCACTAGCCTGGCTCTGTCCAGAAGTAATAAAATCTACCTACTGGCAACTTTAAAGTTCACTTAAATGAACATGTTATATCTTGCTTGAAGTGTAGAAATGACACGTTGTTCAGACACAAGCCTGCTTAAGTTAACCTGTTTTGTTTTTGAGATCTACTGTGTAGCCAAAGATGTGGCTAATAGTTGCAAGTAAACTTTAATTAAATTTTTTGCTTTGACCTCTGGCTGTTTGGCGAGCAAACAGTATGTTCTTGTTCATGAAATCTGCCACAGCAAACTATGCAAGACCGTATAATTAGTCTTGCTCAGGTATTTCTCTCTCTCTAGGTGGTTACATATTTAGTCATAATTTGCACACAGCTAATTTTCCAATGGATGTGGTTGCTAGGCAACTGCAAAACCTTTGTGATGGGTTAAAAGCAGATGTGCAAGTTTGCATTGTTAGCCAGTTAGGGTCAGAGGAGTAGAACATGCAAATACGCAACATGATTTATTAAAATAATAATGTATACAGGTGGAGGTACAAGAGTACATTAGCCACTCCTCTACTTATGCACATGTGGGCTTTTATTTTGTTTATCCCCTCCTGCTGTTTAGCATATTTGCCTTGTTTATATTTGTGTCCTTTTTTTCACTCCCCCACAGGTTCTGAGTAACAGCAACCAGCTGTATCTGAAGTCAGTGAGCCAAGCGGATGCCGGCCAGTATGTATGTAAGGCCATCGTCCCACGGATTGGAGTAGGAGAGACTGAGGTCACGCTCACCGTCAACGGTCAGAAAACATCCACACAATTTAATGTATCACTGCTTGTAGTTGAATAAGTTGTACTTTCTAAAAGGTCAGCTTGTCAGTAATTGGCAAAAATGTTGTATGCCCAAAGTGTTACAATCCCTCTTGAACAGGCCTAGTAAGGTCAATGTCTTTTAAAAAAAACACCAGGGTTGAATATGATGTTTGTGGTATTTTAAGTGTCATTTCTTTCATTTCTCTCTTTCACACACACTCACATATCCTCTCATTTTTGGCCAATGCAGGTCCTCCCATAATCTCCAGTGACCCAGTCCAGTATGCAGTGAGAGGGGAGAGAGGAGAGGTGAAATGCTACATAGCCAGTACACCTCCTCCAGATAAGATTGTAAGTCAAAAGAAAAGAAAAGGGGAAAAAAAACATTTCTGTCACCAAACCCACAATGACATGTTAAAATTTTAGCCCAGATCTATTATTAAGATATAGAAAAGCCAAACAAGTAAAAGCTTTGGTCACAAAGAGCACATGGTTGTACCTTTTTGTCTGACAGAGATTTTACTGTTACTGTACCTTCCTGTGCCTAAAAGCTCCTCTCCTGCACGGTAAATGCTTTTAGGCAGTGTCCCCTTTTCTTTTTGAGTGGTGACTCACCCTTAAACTCTCCCAGAATTTTCCTTCATCCCATCACATAAACAAACCAACACTAACACTAAGCCGGTCCACTTTTAGCTCCTGCGTCAGAAATCAGCCTGCATGCTTTCTCCACTCGGCTGTATCACGGAGACGCAGTAGTAGCAGTTCCTCGGTGACTGATCCATACTGACTCGCAGTGCGCGCTCCTAATGCAAGTGGCGAAGGTTGGGACAGAAAAAGATTTATAAAATATAAAGGACTGGAGAGGAACAGTTGTCCCAGTAAACGACACAGCCAGGAGATTATCCTCCTCTGGAATAAGTGGGCAGATTATGGGAACATGTGGGCTTATGCATAATTAACTTGCCTTACTACAGTACTTCAATGCTGAATAATACAGTTGCTTTTAGTGGCTTTAAAGTTGGAGAATGTGCAAGATTCTCGCCAGCTCAGTCACCCACCTCCACTTTAGTCTGCAGAAACATACAAACTGTTGCTAGTCGTGCAGTGTGTGTCTTTACATGTGAGTGTGTAAATTTATGTAGTCTATTTCTGTCATGCCTTTCTACAGTGTGTTTGAGTTATAGATATATATCGAGTTAGAGTAGCTTTCTACTAAATGTCACATAATTTTTTTTTAACCTTTATTTGAACATTTTACGTGAAAGTAACATTACTCTCCTTTTATTGATTGATATTTGTATCAACTTCATAGTTTTCTTTAATTATAATTTTTTTTATTTAGGACACAAAACAGTGCAATACACTGATATTATTGTTGTCTTTAAAGGAAGAGTTCAGCATATTCTTTTTCTTTCTTGTCAAGAGTTTAATAAAAAAGGTTGATATTGCTATATATATATATATATATATCACAACACAATAATTATGATAAAAATCTAATATTGCCTCTCGTATGTGTGTGTGTGTGTGTGTGTGTGTGCACGCTGTAGGTGTGGGCGTGGAAAGAGAACGTATGGGAGAAGGAGAAGGGGACGCTGCTGGAGCGGTATACGGTGGAGCAGAGCAAACCATCGGCCGAGGGCGGCGGCGTCCTCTCCACCCTCACCATCAACAACGTGATGGAGTCCGACTTCCTGTCCACCTACAACTGCACGGCCTGGAACTCGTTTGGCCCCGGCACCATGATCATCACACTGGAGGAGACTGGTGTGTTTAATAAATTCAAAGAATGATCTTTAATTCTAGTGTCTTTTGAGGATAATATTAATTTAACTGATAATTTATCAGCCCAAGTACATATCATGCATCACTAGTTCTTTCACAGTCAGAAGGCTTTTTTGGAGTCCAAAAACTCTGTATTAATATATGATGATATTGACATTAGATACTCTGTGAAATAAGAGGTCAAGAAAATTAATATAATGAAGTGAAAAACAATCATTTAAATTAATTTCTCAAACCTGAGAATCCTTCTTCTCAGTGTTGATTTTAACTTTATAAGGTAACAATGCATTATTCATATTCATTTATTAGTACATTACACAATGCTTTGTACTTTGGGACACAGAAAAGAAACAATTTATCTAATGTAGTCTACATTTTACACCTCAAATGGACCTGCAAATCCATATATAGCCAACAACAGAATCTCATTTGGACAAATAGACATCTCCGATTGCTTCTCAGTAACTGGATAGGGCAGCTCTTCTATAATTTAGCTTTATAAGGTATATTTGTTTCATTAAAATCATGATTGTGTCGCTGTAGACAGACATTTGCATCCCTAACTCAATCCATCCCCCCCAACCCCCTCTCTGACGCTCTCTTTTTCTCCCTCACCCCCTCATTTCAGAGGAGGTCCCAGTGGGGATAATAGCTGGTGGGACAGTGGGCTCTACCATCCTCTTGTTCATCTTCCTGCTGGTCCTCGTTCTCATCTTCTACCGGCAGCGCAAAGGCAGTGAGTCATACTCTCCATGTGCTCAACACATACAGTATAAAGTCCCAATGTGCATTTAGCGTAGTAGTTCATCACTCGACCAAACCGACTTTTAGTAAAGACACCTACAGCTTTCTCTCTCCACCATATGGATGTAGCCCCCCTCCCCTGAACTTGCTCCTCCAGCTCATGAAAACACGCCGGCCAAGATGCGCGTGTCCAGCTGTATTCAACCTTGCCGTGTTTTGCTTCCAGGTCGGCGCGGGGTCACTCTGGGTAAGCCCGACATCAAGGTGGAGACGATAAACAAGGAGACCCACAGCTTGGAGGAGGACTCCGGCAGCGTGTCCACGGCTTCGCGCATGGTCAAGGCCATGTACTCGGTGAGCAGCAGCGGGATATGTGTGCTTGGGCCGGACACTGTTTACACAGCCTGTAGTTGTAGAAAAAACCTCAGATTAACTCAGCAACCTCTCCCTACGCCACACTGTACCTTTTGACTAAAAACAAACTCTGTGCTTTTCCCCTGTAATTGCTCCTTTTAACACTTTTAATTCCGTTTTCTCCTCTCCTGTCATACTCTGTTGCCTCCTTCCCTCTTCTGTTTTGTTATGGCACCTTCTCTCCTCCTTTTTGTTTTTGTTTTGTTTTGTTGTTTGACGGTTTAGTTTCTCCCCTCTGTGTCCTTCTCTCCCTCCAATCAGCCTTTTAAAGATGACATAGAGCTCAAGTCTGACCTCCGCAGCGACACCCTGGACACCCGCCAGGAGTATGACCTAAAGGTGAGCTCTCACAAAAACCCTTGTTCGTATCAAACCAGGCAGCAAATTGTCTTTAAAATCTAAAGAAACTCACCTTTTTCCTACTGAAAGACTCAAAAATTACAAAGTGCTGAGAGAAGTTACAATCACAGGTACAGAAATAGTTAGAAAAACACAGATCTAGTCAATATGAAGTCAAAATCAGCAAAACATTGATAATAAAATGATGCCAAAGTCAGAGTGAGGTCTTGTGGAGTTTCAGAGCAAGGTTTCGTTCTAATTATACCTCAAAGGGCTGCAAATATCCTAATCGTTACTGACATGGTGACTCTGAGTGATGACTTTCATCCAATGATGTACAGCTTTTCTTCTCTGATGGAAGTGATGTCACCCAGTATGACACTGAGAGTATCCTCTGCCAGGCAGAAATAGGAATCAGATGAACTACATAAATATAATTTTTTGAGGGTTTTATACTATAGATTAAGCCTCATTCTTTAATACATAATCCCACCTGACCATTGATTGATCTTTTCATTGATTGAGTTTTTACTAATGTTATAGTAATCCAGGTGCATTGATAGGAATTGATTCCTAAGTGAAAGTTCAGTACAACTTGATTTAATTTTATGTTTTATATACATGTAATACTTCCGATGTGTAACAAGTCTGATGCGTTCTAAAAGTTGAAATTCTATTTTTTATTCATTTTTTAATTATTCTATTATCAGAAAAGTTTTTTTAAATTTCCTTTAACCGTCTAGAGGGTGCCCATGTGCATCTGAAGTACTATTTGAGCAACTAACACCCCATTTGCACCCAATATTAACTGTATCGGGATGTTATTTGGATAACAAATGATCCAGTCTTGCCTTTGCATTTACACCTGCTATCTTTAATGCATCCTCGTTATCCTTATGAGATTGGATCCCTGTCCTCCAGAGGAAAACCTATGAGAGAATCAGCCCCAGACTCCCTTAAAAAACACAGAGTTTTGTAAGTTGGTGAGTTAGGGGAAACTTTATACACAAATTCTTAATTATTCGTCCCCTGTTGTAAATTTGGCGAATGTAATAGGTTATTCCTTCAATTTTATAATACATATTGTGTCAGTTAGCCCCGGTGTTTTGTACTACCTACTCTATGACTAGTTACATGATATGCCCTGTTAACAGCAGGTCAGCTGCACAGATGATTGCAACACACACCATCACACACCCAGTTATTTCTTACTCTATATGATTCATTTTAGCTCATGATCACGTTTTTTTCCTTATCTGGATAACGTATCTGGATACAGATCACATTTCAATACCAGGTGCAAATGGGGTGTAAGCCCCAGTCCATCTGAAACGGATACTAAACTGGATGCTTGGAGACGGTTCTAACTATTAGCTCTTTGGATTTAAATATTAAATGTATCCAGTAGAGTTGTCTCTATAAACAGCTTGCTTCTTTAACTCATGTGTTCTCTTCAAATGTCATTTTGTTTTGTGCCTGTAGCTTAATAAACACATTAAATACCTAATTAAACATCCACAGTTCATGTTTTAAAGCTGAATTGTTAATATCCTACTGGCGATGAAAGTAGCATTAAATGACTTCACTAGCTGTTGCCTCTTCATTTGACTGCCAGGTCTTTAATGCAACTATTATCTTCTTACAGTGTATAAGAGCATAACCAAAGGGGCTGCTGTTTATCTGACTGTTGTTAGCCAGCAAATATGACTTATTACTTCTGACTTGCAAATATGACTCCATTCCAGTTAAAACAATTCCACCTACGCATTGGTACAAAATCCCCTATTAGTGCAGCTGTCTCAAGCTTCAAGAACATTCAGACCTCTTTCTGTCCTCTAGTTTTCTTCATTCTACAGTATTTTATGTTTGTGTTGGTTCCTTTTTTGGTATAAGCTGCTTTTTTTCCTCTGGTCAACATGTTGGCTGTAAGTTAAAAAAAAAACAACAACACACAAACTCATTTTTAGGATTTCAAGCCAATCTGTCATTTGGACCAATCAACAAAAACAGTTCACCATCTACGTGATGCGCTGGTTTGCAGGAGATTTGCATTAGATCAGGAGATTTAAGACAAAAGCAGTGTAGTTGGCCGTTGCTGGATTGCTGGAGCTCCTTTGGTCTTCTCTGACCCTCGCTTTCAGTCCAACTGTGAGGCAACTTGCTTCTCTGAAAGTCTAAAAGAAAAAATACAACTCAAATTGGAAAGATTTGATAAAGACAAAGGAAGTTTAGGCACACCCTGCCCATTCAGCTGGCATGAATCATTTATACATTTTGACACTGCGGGGCTGGGCTTAGGTGATGAATGTATTTTCACGCGCAAAGCTGCCAAATTGTTCAGCTGAAACTCCCCCCCATGAATATTTTGTGAGGGCAAACACACCACCCCTCTAGCTGGAGTGCTGCCTTGGATCACTTTGAAGAAACACAGACATGAATCCACCCCAGGAGGTGGTTAGATCACCCCGACAACAGCCTCAGCAAGACTGTTTTTTTTTGTTTACTCCCCGCTGCCTGAAGCACCGAAGAAGCGAAACAGAGTCGGGTGGGGGAGAAGAGTACGGGTGCGTGAGAGACAATGAGATGGAGGAATAATGTCAGAAATAATAGTAGAGCAGCATTAGAGTGTTCAGCGGGGGGTGCAGTGAGGAGGGAGGGCATCTTGCCTTCACCCAGACAGTCTGGGATCAACGCTGCTAGTTGGCATGGAACCACCCGGCTGGAGTAAACTTATGAGCTTAAACATGAATGCTTCAAGCTAGAAATGGCCAAATCAGAATTTCTTATTTTTCTTGTTAACCTGGTCAAAAAATGAAAACTGTGCCATTCCATACTACATAATAATACTTAATTAGATCACAGACTAGCAATATGGTAGCTGATATAGTATATTTCTGAGCTGGAATGAAAATAGACCTCTTCAATGTGAATTTTGCACTAATATGACTGTGTAAAGGTTCTCAGAAGGCTGCTTTCTTTAACAAATAACTTTGTTAAAACTATTTAAAGGGCTGCTTCTTCTCTCTTACTCTGATCTGCTTGCCACAGGATTGTAAATCACAGCGCACTCTGCTGGATAAACTATGCACTGACACCAGTATACCACAACCTTTTTTTCTGCATTATATAGCTGAAAAAAATTTTTTTCATATCAAATAACATATACACCAATACCAACACCAAAAACTGAAAATTGGTACAAAGCATATCTTATTAGTGTGTGGTATAAAATTAGGACACAGCAGCTTTTTTCACATCATTTTTTCTTTAATTTAAACTCAAATGTCATCATTGTGCAAGAATATTTATTTAAAAGTCAGGAGAGGTACTAGAGGTTGTTATTGCACCCTGTTAACATTTTCACAACATAACACCATCTTTTTAAAGTTCATACAGTAGATATACAGCGCATAGAAGATCTTTTTGAAAGTTGGCAGTATTTCAGAAGGTGGATTACTTGTTTTCTCTGTAACTTGATCTGCAGACATTTCTGAAAAGGGACTCAAGCAGCTGAGTCACAAAAAAGAGAGCAAACTGCCTTCACAGCACAATCTTAATGAATCTGGACCTGGATGCAGACCAGCTCGAGCTGCACTGTTCACCCTGACCTCTGACCTTGTACAAGAAATAGAATTTCTCTTTGGGGATCAGGAAGGAACATAACATTAATATTAAAGAGCCCCTTTGACCTTAAGAATCTGTGTATATAGAAAATTATTTTCACAATCACCCTCATTATATCTTTTCTTATAGCTCACTCTGAGTTTTTGTCTCTGCCTCCCTCTTCAGGACCCCACTAACGGCTACTATAACGTGCGAGCCTCCACCCACGATGAAGGCCGCCCTGCCTCCCGCTCCACCATGCATTACTCTGACTACCGCTCCCCTGCGGGAACACCAGGGGGAGCTGCGTCCATTAGCAGCAGCGCCGGCGGCTCAGGAGCCACGGCCAGCGGAGGAGCCCCAGGTCCCCCCGGGCCCCTCACCTCCCCTGGCCGCCCCCAGGCCTGCTACGACCCCCGGCCCCCCTCCAGACTGTCCCACATCAGCTACGCCCAGTTCAACACTTTCACCCGCGGGGGCCAGAGCCAGCAGCCTCCAGCCAACCCCGCCCCCGTGGCC